TTTTACGTCATTCTTCCACTTCGTTTTCTATCGAGGAAACGTTGTTTTCGCTCTTAAAAAGAATTTGATTCTAACGGATACGTTGATCCAGCGAAGAGAGAGAGAGAGAGAGAGAGAGAAGATGGTGGTAGGATGAACGACTGCATTCCGAAAAGAACAATCGTGTACAGTTAGGAAATTAGACCGAGTCTCATAAATCCGGAATCCAGAGTTGCGTGTAGATCCAACAGCGGAGGAAGAAGGGGACGCATCATTGTGTAAAGTCAGAATACCTTGACTCACATGATTGGGATCTCGCGAGAACCACCTGCAGCCTTCGTGACTGCCGGTGCAATTATGAGAAAGTCTAGCAAACTCGCTCGTTAGAAGAGCCACGTGCGACCTTCGATGACGCTCAAATTGACGATAGTTAAATTATCGTCTCTCCTGTAAACTGCGATACTTCTAACTAGACTATATATATATATATATATCTTCTTACTTCCTGTTTCTTGTCTAACTCGTAACTTTCGTTGCCTCGAGACTTCGCTAAAAACAGTTTCTCGTCGAGAGAGGAGAAAAAAAAAGAAAAAGAAAAATTGGTCGATAAGTTTTTCTTACTTTATAAGATTTTATAACAGGATATACAGGATATAGTTAATCGCTTACCCTTGAATTAACTTTAGCAGCAGGTAGTATCACGCGTTAATAAATAATTTCAGTATCTCGTGAAACGGAGCTATTATCAAGAACAAACAAAGATATCGTAATATTTAACAAGGTATTATTTTTACTTGACTCGTTTAACCCGTACAGATTATACGAACGATTGAGCGAACGATCAATCATATCCAAAGTGTCCGAAGAAGAAAAGGAAGTGGTCTTTGTCGAAGAAACAGGATCGTTTGCAGTCACAAAGGATTATAGATGCTTTTGATGTGCAACATGTGTTCGCATTTGCTCGAGCACCGAATGAATCAGAGTATGAAAATTCTATTTGGCTGAAGTTAGAACATTTACTATATAGCTATAGTTATAGCGTACTGGAAATCAGTGGCGTAAAATTGGCTCATTAGAAACGCATGAACGAACAGAGAAGAGCATCGTGGACCAAAATACGGGTCGTTCTTTCACGTGAATTTTCGTGCTAACGTTCCAAATAATTCCAAATTAATATCCAAATTAATATCCAAATTAACCGTTTTTTTTTTTTTTTTTAATAACTAAAAACTATTCGTTTTCTTTTCCATCAAATTTATTATATCCTATATCATGTCATTTTAATTCTAATCATCTATTTGTAATATATGTATTAGATATATATTACAATCTGTAATCCAAAACGTTTCAAAAATCACTTTCTTCGAAGTAATTCATTTCGTGTTAGATAACCAGCCAAAAATGAAATCGTTCGAAACTAATCCTAAACGAGGTTTCAATTACGATCGAAAGAGAAAAGGAACTAGAAACGCATCTTGTTTATTAAAAATTATTTGTCGCGATTATCTACCTTCATCCATCGAAATTGAAAAGTTGGCAAAATTGAGCGACAATTCATACGGATGAAAATCTAAAATCCCGTGAGAATAGAAATGCAGAGAAGCGCGCTCATGCAACATTATGGATTCCTTCGAAAACCCGTTAAAGCCAAGATGTATCGCCTTTTTGAGCCGCGTCCGATCGCGTAACGAGCTACCAAACGTACACGGCACTTTTCCACATCCATTTTCCTTAGTTAATGAAACCTGAGTCACGTAGCTTATGTCAGAAGCATCTGGTACAAAGGAATTCTCAATTGAGGCCTCTTGCTGCGAAAGAATATCCATTTTCGTCATCTTTAGAGATGATTAAAAAAAAAAAAAACTTTCAACTCAGAGAATCATTCCTTTCGCTTAATTCGAAGAAGAAAATTTTTGATCAAAAATAACACCAGCTTTTTACAACACGAACGTGTATACATGTCGTATCCATTTGTCAAAATCGGTGGAAAAAAATGGCCCAGTTTCCGCTTCAAAAACTTATAATTTAATTATAAGTTTACGTGTAATTATTTGGGTCGACAATGCGATGGCCATTACCTTCGCTATCGCTCTCTCTTCATCCTCGAAAATTGAGGATTGACGAGAAAGTATCCGTAGAAAAAAAAAAAAAAAGACACGCTACTACGTACGGAATGCGAAATCATCATTCACGATGATAAATTAATCGCACGATATTTATTGATAAAACCTAGCCTCTTTCGTATAATCTATATCCATTTGCCTATCCACTGATAACAACGCGTCTCTTCCCTCGACGATTTTACGCGCGACGTTTTACCTTTTGTTTAATTCCGTTACTTCTCTCGATCGAAGAGAACTCGTCCGGTTAGATCGAAATCAGGGGCACGTGTGCACACACCTCGAGAACTTTGCTCGAATTCGAAAGAAAACACCTTTTCGATTACACTATATCCTAACGATGTGTCGTTAACGTAAAAAACGAACGAAAATCGTTAATTATTATTAGAGACGCGTTCTACGCGTTGGTCTTTTCGATAAACCCCATAAATCGAACGGCTGACATCGAACGATGTCGCTCTATGTAATTTATAATTTGACGGAGCGCGAACCGTTTCGAGGATCGAAGGATCGGAGAAGGATTCGAACAACACCGGCAGTTAACCGGGAAGAAGAGGAGTTCTAATGACACGTGACGAAGGTGCGATCCGCGTCGAGGAAGCTTTATATTGAATATTCCCATACCAAAGCCTCTCTGGATTCTCGTCTCGTCTCTCTTGTCACGAGTCAGATACATTGTGCCGTTCTTGACAAAGATGCCCGTAAAAAGATACGCGTGTACGCGTACCGGCCGGTTCATTTCGGCAAAATAACGGTGTGCCGGTTGAAAATGGCGGCAAACGAAAAAGGAGCAAAAAAGGAGCGGACGACTCGAAGAGATTCTCTTCGAAAGAGACAGGTTTGATCTCGTAATTCGACTTTCTCTGTATCGTTATAATGATCTTCATCCTCGAAAATCCTCGACACCTTTCGAAATATCAAGGATGTTGGAGAAGCGAAGCACGTCTCGGGTATATTTTTCGAAGGGTAGAAAGACGCGAGGATGGAAGGACGGCGCAAAAGGAAGAGCGGAAAGCGAGAACTCGAGGATGTTCTTACGTGTGCTGTAAATCTGACACTTTATAAACTGTTGTCGCACAAGGTTTCCGTCTTCGATCGATAAAAGATAAAAATCGTATCGCGGGGAGATGCTCCAGAGGAAAGAAACGACAAATTGATGTTTTATGCAAAGCCCGTTTCGTGGAAGCGGAGATACGAGATGGAGCTCGTTGTCGACGACAGGGAAGACAGGTGAAACAAGACCACTCGCGGATAACACAGGTCTCTGTAGTCCGACTGCACGATCCACGAGGGGAAAGGTAGTCGGTTTACCTTACTGACAGCGGTCAGCTCGAGCAAAAGGAACCCGACGCCGGTAATAACGAGGTATCGTGTAACGATCAACCGTGTATTTAATCGTGAACGATGACGGGCCGCCATTATCCTTTAAATCGATCGGTCAAACGTTTAATTACACTCGTTGCAGTATGAATCTCGTCGAGGAAACACTCACCCTAGCCGACTATTACCGCTCGTACTTTATAAAGTTTACCTTGCTCGGAGGTGTTCGAGCTTGATTTTAATTACTCGACTTCAATTTCCATCTCGAGGAACGAAGAATGGAGCGTCAATCGTCTCGACACCCGTTTAACATGGAAACACGATAGAACGCGAACGTAAAACGTGCTAATTCGAAACCATTAACCAACCCCTCTTCTATTACTTCGGTCTCGAGTGGAAGAGCTTGTACGCTTTAATTAAAAAAAGAAAATACTCGCTAGGTATTCAGCACCGCGAAATAATAAACAACCGGGTGAACGATAATTTCGAACGAGTCATCGCGAGGAGGAAAAATAGAAGAAGATCTTCGTTTCTCGTAATTAGAATCGATTCAAGGATCGAATCGTGGCAATTAACAATTAGCAAAACCATTAATCGATCGATCGCTCTCGTCTCTCCTCTTCCCTCCGTCAACCCGACCGACCTTGCGCAAGGTCTTCGAGGAGGAGTTCTCCTCTCCTCTCCTCTCCAGGAATGCGTGACTCGACGATTTTCTAACCCGCTTTCAATTACCATTCCTAGTGTTCTTGTTCTCGTTCCCTTCGCGGTGCGGTAGCGCCTGCGAGAGAAAAGAAAGGCTGACGCGCGGAATGCACGCGCCTCGTCTAAATGCCGCGCGGAATTTGTCCCCCGTTTCCTTTCGCTCCTTCGAAATCCTTTTGCCCCCTTTTTTTTTCTACGCTCGTGTCCTCACGCGGGGACGCGTGATTTATTCCGTGTCGGAGAGAATAAGAAGAATTTCGCGCGAGCGAGCCACGACGAAAGGAGGAGGGCGTTGCAGGCCACGATCGGTGAATACGTTTGTCGAGAAAACGTTGGGTTGTCCTCCGTGCCACGCTCGTGACGAACGAGACAGCAATTTGTTTCGGCTCGTTGGCCGATGACGCGCTCTCGTCCAACCTACGCACGTGTTCTGGAGAGAGAATCTCGTTTTGCATGCTTAACGTCATTCGGTTGTCGCATTAGCCGACCAAATAGACCGATTTAATTTTCGAGGTGTGATGATGATGCGTCCTCGTGGGATGTATATCGATCAGGGTAATATTTCGCGCGCAGAGGATCGCGCTCGTTCCAAGGCTAATAACTTAATCTCGTTCTTTGGACGGGAAAGGGGTAGGTAACCGCTTTGTAGATGTTTATAAGCCGGATTATATATGGCGCGCCTCGCGAATGCACGACACCATCGCTGCTCACCTTCGTCCGAATAAATAAATCGATTTTTCGTTTTTTATTTCGCCGCAAGGAAAAAATGCAAAAATTATTTTTTCCAACGATATTTTCGATTCTTCTCTCGTTCGTCGATCTCGTCGATCTCGTCGATAAAGCGAACGAAAACAATGAAATTGTTTCGTATTTTTCCAGTCCATCATGAAGAGGATCTCGCTGATTTTATTGGCGTTCGTGTTCGCGGCGTCCGTCGCAGCGCTGCCACTCCGAGACACCCCGAACGTTCGATTGTTTCCTCGGGACAAGGACGCGGCTCCAGTTTCCACGGAAACAGGGATTGTCACCGGCAAGGACGCGACGAATCAGTCGACAAAAAAGCAATCAGAGAAGACCGACGGTGGAACGAAAGAGTCTTCGAAATCCTCGTTACCAGCCTCGATTCGGGATAATAATCGAGCGGGGGGCAAGGACGAGGACGGTCCCCGCTCGTTGAAACGCGTCAACGAAGCGAGGGACGACAAAACGGGCAAGAAGAGTCGAAGGCATAAAGCCATTTTCGTCGATTACCCGCTCGTACCGCAACTTCCATTCTCCAACGACATCGTCCCTTACGACATCGATTACCCTAATAACAAGTTCGACACCGAGGAGAGGAGGACGGATTCGAGTAACTTCGAGGAAAGCAACATCTTCTACATCAGGCTCCCGCCCACGCCGTACATGTTCGTCCCGGGGTTGGGTTACATCTCGCAACCGCCCACCTATTCGACGACCAGCCTTCAACCGCTCGTACAAGCGTACAAGAGACCCGGAAGGCCGAAACCCGCGTACCAGCAATCCGTCAACCGCCCGTTCATCAAGCTGCCCATCGATTTCGTGAGCAACGGCAAGCCGACGTCGGTCTACCATTGGCAGAAGAAGACGAACAAGAAACCGACCGACACCCCGATCACCAATCTGGACAGTCTCTCCGCCGATTTCGTGACCAATGGGAAACCGACCGCCATCTATCAGTGGCAGGCCAACGCGAAACCGACCAACAAACCCGACCACGATCCCGTCCACAAGCTGGACAAAGGCCCGTACGAGTTCAACGGCAAGCCGACCAGTTTCTTTCTGCTGAAACCGGATGGAACCACCGCGGCGCGTCACCCTTTCCGCTATCCCGATTACCAGGATAATTCCTATTATTGAAGACGCGTGAACGGAGCTCGTTGCTGCCTCGCGAAACGAAGTCCGCCGTTTCCTCGAGTCGTCGAAAGAAGAAAGGAGGAAAGAAAAATCGGCGGGATCGATTGCGGGATTACGAATCCTCGAATCCATCGTCGGCGGCGAGCGGAGAAGGGCTGATGAGAGGGCACGGCTCGATCAGCATGCACGAGAAACGTGAAACGAAGGGAACGAATCGATCGATTCGCGATTCTCGTTCGAATCGTAACTACGTACGTACAGTATAGAGGCGAAAGAACGAGCGGATAACCGATGCCAGGATACGCGATTGCTTAGAAATTGCATAACCGCGCGAGCTTAAAAGGCGGGCTTCGAAACAATCGGCTTCTCGGCCGGTCGTATCGCGTTGCATTTACATCTAAAAGTATGGGTTATTACTGCGGATGATTATAAAGGAACTGTTCTCCGCGAGGCGGGGAATTGTTGAATGAAAAGTTTCATCGATGATCGACGTCTCGAGTGATACCATCTCTTTGTCGGAGATTTGTTTCTTTTCTTTTCTTTTCTTTTCTTTTCTTTTCTTTTTTTTTTTTTTTTAGTTGGTACGGTACCTTCGAGTTCGATATCTCGGCGAGGAGAAATACACGAGCGGAAGTTGGAAATAAGTTTGATCCGTGAATAAGAATAAGAGAAATGTCACTGCGGATGATCGATTAAGAAGAATGGTTGAAACGAGATAAGAATGGAAACGGAAAATAACGAGTTTCCGTTTCTGCACGCTCGAAATACCTTTTTGATTTCCACTTGGCATTCGCCCATAATTAAGACATGTCGCTACGACTAATTATTATGGAGAGTACTTAATCTCGAACAGACGATATATATCTACAATTATTGTTTTTAACTGTATAGTTTCTATTTATAAGTCTATTTATACGTCAATTAATTAAAAAACTGCGTATATATATATATATATACATAGCCAGGCTGCAAAAGTAATCACGACGATCGTTTGCTCAAACGTAATTTAAGTGTTGCGTTAATTGATCATTCCTTTTTTTTTATATTCGAGCGAAATCCACGATTATCTCTTTTAGTACCGTCACACTGTATACTTAATGACGTATATTTATTTGTAAAGTTCGTATTTTCGTTATCGAGAGAACTTTTTATATATATATTGATTTATCTTTTAATTTTGTAAATACGTGAAAAATACACGAAACCTCGAATCGATAACTTTCCCGTCTTTTTCTCCGAGAAAGAGGAATTTTCACGTTCTTCTGGGACATCCTTGCCAGTCGCACCCCGATTGCGTCCACGAGAAAACGTGTTCCATATGTTTCCCCCTCTCACGTAACACAAATATTGACTTGGGACGCGAGTCTGCTCGGGATTATATCCTGTCTGGTTACGGGAATACCTCGCGATCTATGCGCTACTTGCTTCAAAGAGATTGAATTCAAAGATCGCGATAACACCGACGCCAGACATCCAGGAAAAGCCAGGTTTAAATGGAATTTCAATTCAACCTCGCGATTCCCTCAGCGATATACGGCCGGGGAATACGTTCGTGAAATAAATTTCCTATTTACTTCTTATTTCCAAAGAATACGCGGGAGAAAAGTAAATCGCCGATCTCGTATCGAAATATAACGATTCGTCTTGCTTTGAAGCGTCTCCGTGTTCGTTCGATACGTTACGATACGATATTGGATAGACAAATTTTCTTTTTCTTTTTACGACGAGCGACGAGCTAGAGAGATTAATCCTTGTCACGAATTACAAAAACGCCGGTTGAAGGGCCTGAAAAAAAAAAAAAAAAAAGAGGAGGAAAAAAGGAGAAAGAAACGTGGAATGGTCGAACAAAGGAAGATAGACACTCTGGTCATTTCAAAGTTTGATGGTCAATTACCAAAAAATGTAGGCCTGGGGGCAAAGGGTTCGCTCGATACTATCGCAAATGTACTGTAACGGGTTAAGAGCGGTTCTCATTCTGAAATCGGGATAAAAAGTTACAGCTCGACAGCCGTTTAAACGACCGACGTTGAATCGAACGAACAATGCTATCCTCCACCAATCTTCATTTTTTTCTTTTTCACTCTCTCTCTCTCTCTCTCTCTCTCTCTCTCTCTTCTCAACGGGTACACAACAGCCAAGTTGTTACAAAGTACTATAAATACTTTTATTACGCTACACTGAATGCCATGGTTTCGATACAATTGAGCTTCTTCCTATAACATACGAATATAAGAATATAAAAAATGTCTGCTGCTCTCGCGCTTCTGCAATTCATTATATTAGAAAAAGAAGAACCAGTAAAAGATCCTTGCACGGATATACAAATAGAAAAGGCATGTGCATCCCTTAGAGACGAGTAAGTAATATGCAGTAATATTGTCCAGTCTTTCGTAGAAATTCGCTCTAGATCGATTGCTCCATGGAGATTTATTATCGCTGCTTTGCTACGCATCGTATCCTCGATCGTTTTCTCTCTCCTTCCCCGGTTTCCTCCTCGCATGATCGGCATCTTCCATAAAACAATCGCGCGTGACGGTGTATATAATCTTTTGTAAAAAACGGCACACATCGACGTACGATAGAAAAAGTTAATCTGTTAAACTTATAAAAATATATTATACAAGTTGAACGTAGCAAGCGGGAAGCGGTCGTTGGTGCACCGGCCGAGAAAAACCGGAGGAAGAAGAAAAGCGCCAACGATCGCCTCCCTTCCCTGACTTAATTATCTCTGAGCGTATATACCATTATCGTCGAACTCAGTCGCAGGCGTTTGCAAAATTCTCCTTAAACTATTCCTAAATTTAAGTCCGCCTCTCCTTCCCTCCGAGAGGAAGGAAAGTCTCGGAGTGAACCTAAATCTAAATATCTCTAACAACTGTAACAGAAGTGGAACGGTTTTTGCAGGATACGCGTGGCTTCGAGCGCGAAGGACGACTCCGATCCGACAATTCTCTCTCTTTCGCTCTCTCATTCTCTCTCTGTCTCTCCCCCTCACACGCGCGCATTCTTTCTCATTCTTTCGCCCACGTCCTTCTCAAACATCTGATCCTCGGCTTGTCGTCGACGTGTCGCGACTATTTTAAGTTAACAAGCTGACAACGGGCCGCCAACACGTGACGCGATTACGCGGATATTCTCGACGAGTCGCGGATTACGGTAATAAGGGGTGATAGTAGACGGGTTTGCGACTTTTCTCCATCACGTAGAACGCCTTCGGCTTCCCGTTTCCGGGGAAATTCTTGTGGATGCTCGTCGATCCGGATTTGCCCGTGATCGGTGCGTAGTACGACATGGCAGCCTTCTTCCGGTGTTTCTTCACCTTGGCGGTGTTCCTCGCCCCGTGGAGCTCGTTCGTCAAGTGGATCCTGTGCACGCCCGAATCGTCCAGCCTGTACGTCTTGTTGCTCGTCCCAATGTTGTTACCCTTCTTCGTCGACTTTTTGTCCTCGTGCTCGGGATAGCTCAGCCTCTTGTCGTTGTTCCTCACGTGCTTCGAGGGACTGCCGCCGCTCTGGCGAATCTTCCCGTTGTCACCGAAATATTTCTTCTTCTCCTGGAGAGAGAGATTATCCTGATTACCTTGTTGTTGACGAGCACCGTCCTCGATGTTCGACGAGCCTTGATACTTCTTCGAGACGTCCAACTTCTTCTTCGCTTGCTCCATCTTCATCTGAGCGTGGAGCCTCTTCTTCTCGCTGATCTTCTTCACGACGGGGAGATTCCAATGATAGATCTTGGCCGGTTTTCCATTCCCTTGAAATCCTACGGGGAAATTCGGCCCGGTCTTAGTTACCTTCTCGTCTTTCACGTTCTTGTGCGGCTTGGTGATGGTGTAGTACGGCGGGCTGGCCGGAAGCTTCACTATGTAGACGTGGCTGTCTCGATGACCGTGTCGACGGCTGTACGGCTGATGAATTCTCGTCTGGGAGTTTAGTCCAGGCGGTTCGGGACCCGCCAGCCGTTTCTTGTGGTGTCCATCGGGAATCTGAAGCGGCGCGAGGCCGAGCCGATTCAGGATCGCGGCATTGCTCGTGTGGACCGTCTCGAAGTTAGTTATCGTTTGTTCGGATGCGATTACGAACACGGCGGCGCACGACAGGAACACCAGCGTGCAGCCGAGTAATCTGAAACAGAGAAAAGAAAAAGAAAAAGGTTGGTTTACCGAACGCTTTCTATTCCAAGAGAATCGTTACTCCATATTTTTGAACTCGCTTTGCAACGAAAAACCATTTCCCTTTCACTTCTCATCGAATTCTTTTTTTAAACGTTGCCACGAAACGATCGATCCGAACGATTTTCACGTAGAACGTCCACATCCATCCGAGCGAAGGGAAAATACACGTCGCGGTTCTTGCTCTAATATCAATATATTCACGCGCGACGCTTTCAACCAAACGACGATAAAACTTTGAACGCCTCGTGAAAAAGACACAGCCGTATATCCATATGTATACCATCGATTCCGCTACCGAACCGTCCAGCGCGCGCAAAGTGAATATCAAAGACGACGGGATCTCGGATCCCTGTCACTTTAGAAGACAATCCATCACTGGATGGCAAGTGGCGCGAGTGTAAAAAAAAAAAAAAGAAAGAAAGAGAAGAGAAAAAGCCAAGACGGCCATGACCTCGTCTATAGCGGTAGGTAGGAACGTTTCCTGTTCGGAGGAATGGAAAGAGACAGAAAGCCATCGTGTTGGCAGATCGTAAATATCAGTCGCGTCGTTCGAGCAAAAACGGGGCAAAAGAAAATTTTCATCGATCGTAAATGCGACGACTCTGAAATTTTACGAGCGGCGAAACGAGCCGAGAAAAACGCGAATGCGGACGTTTCGAAGCGGTGGATCTCGGCGATACCTGTTACGCGGATTCCTCTTAAAGGGATCGGTATCGTGGCTCGGCTGTTCGTCGCGTTTAATCAGCTTTTCTTAATTACTCCTTTCACGCGTGATAAGTCTCGCTAATTTTCCGCCATTCTTCGTTTTCCCTCTTCTCTTTTCTAAGCCAACGCAGCGTATCCGCGCGGCGTGAAAGAGAAACGTGTCTTCCATTCGTATCTATTCGCGTCTCTCGATCGTCGGTTAATTTCCAATTTCGACGAAAATAATCGTAAATAATAATGATTGGCCGCGGAGAGAAAAACGGCTCGTAAATCCAACTAACGCCGTTACGTGGAGATTACGAGAGACTCGGCTATAATTTTTCTCTTATTATTCGAAGCGAGTGTCCACTAAGCCGTTCGCGCATTATTCAATAAATTTTGACGTCTCCTCGACGAATCGGCAAACGATCGTTTGCCAGCCGTATCTCGAAACGATCGATAATAAAGGGATTGAAAACAACGGGTTTCCGCTCGAGCGGAAAACGAAGTTGACAGAAGAGACGTAAGGTAAGCCGGGTAATTAAATATTCCTCCTCTTTTCTTTCTTGCCAGGCCCGAAAAGAAAGTCGGAGAGGAACGTCAGTCACGCGATACTCGTGGAATTAACTTGCCATTCGTTTCCCTCGTTGCGAAATTATTTCCTCGATTCCAATGTCTTTCTCAACGAAACTGCAAACGAGGAAAACATCCGAGACGCGAGAGACGGTGAACGTAGCGTGGACGAGAGATAAGAAATAACTCGCTCGACGATATATCGTTTCTGCTTATAGATAACGTATCGATTTTGAGGGAAGCTCGGGAAACGGAGTCTCGTTAATTTTCATTATAGGACACGAATATCCGTCTCGGGCGATACGCAAATCTCCCTCCTAGACAAAGCTCCATTCACACGATTCGCTCGAATCTCGAGCCACTCGTCGCGTTATTAGCTTTATCTGGCTCGATCTTCGACGCAATAAAAACACGCGGCCGGTTGGAGGAACGGACGGGCCGTTTCCTCAATGAAACTCATTGTTCGAAAAAAATCCCTTCTCGTCGCTTGAGCTATACTCGCTCGCGCTAGAGAGCGAGAGAGAGAGAGAGGAAGAGAGACAGGGGGTCCAGTGACGAGCGGAAAATTCAGCAAACGGATTCGAGCAATTGGAGCACGCGTCGATGCGAGTTTGCGCTTGTGACTATGCGATGATTCGAAGAATTTATATTCGTGAGAGTGCGATTGTGAATCGCGTAGTGGACGACGCAGCGTTCGAGACATGCCGTATCGCGGCCCAGTAAGTTGAAACGTTGTTCTTACTCGTCGAGAGAAGGAGAGAAGTCGCAGTCACGTTCGAGGTGACGCTCGTCCGTTAAAGGTTAATAGTGGAATCGCATTAATGGATCGGACGGTAACGATGGTGGAATAACAATGCTGCGCGAATCGTTCCCGCCGTAAAAAGACATGGAACATCCCCCGGTTAACCGAGCGACGATAAGCCCGACCGAAGTTGAAACGGCCGATGGTCGTTACTCCGCGAGTTTCAACTCGACACTGTCTGGCAAGAAAGGCTCGACTCCGCGATTACGATTCCGCTTAGCGTCAGGAAGACGACCGAGCGTCGACCGTGCGCCGATCGGTAGTCCATTACCGTTCGACGTATTCGTCGAAAGCGCACGATTGGCAGGTTAGAAGAACGCGGAAGAGCGAGCGTGGTAGAGAGAAGCGGTTGGCGCGACCCGAGCGGGCGAGGCGAGGCGAGGCGAAGATGAAAAAGAACCGAGAAGGGGGGAGAGGAGAAAAGAGAAGGACGAACAAAGGTTGGAAATGGAGAAGAAGGCAGAGCGCGCGCGAGAGAGAGAGAGAGAGAGAACAGCGATCGGCGAAGCACGTGCGCGTGCATACGAGGCGGTGGACGCGTGAGAAAGAGCGACGAAAATGCGAGGGGCGCGAGGAGGAAGGAGCGGGAGAGACGGAAAGAGAGACACACACACACACACACACACACGGGGCACGTCGTTGCACCGATGGAATGAAAAATGAAAAGGAGCAGCTACGCTGGCGTGTTGCGGTGAACCGAGATTAATCTCCATGATCATCAGCGGGATCAACGTTTGCGGGTGATTCGCTTTGGATTCTCTTCCACCCGACCCGATACACCACGAATGGAATATCGAATAACGCTTCTCGAGACTCCATGGACAGATATTGCTTGCGAATAATGTTCGCGCACCGAAAGACCTGGAAGGAAATTATGCGCGCGGGCTACGTAAGTATCATATTTATAGGAAGATACGGGTTAAAAGTACGATAGTAGACGGTGCGATAATGGAAAATATAACCGTTCTGTTTTGTATATATATATACGTGTGTGTGTGTGTGTGGAACGAAGCGTAAACGTAACGGCGAATCGGCATAAATTTCGCGAAACGCGCGAAATCGTGAAACGAGATTCCGATTTTCAGGTTTCTATTAATTAAATGAAGCGAGCGATCCACACGACGCTTTCGTTCCGGCGAACCGTAACGTTTCCATCAGAGAGGATGAAAGCTCGAGTCATTAGCTCGGCACCCGACCGAGTGCACTCTCTCTTTCGATGTACTTGTTAGGCGCTCTTGTAATTTGCCAAGTAATTACCGAGTCTATCGGCTCGTTTCATCGGCTATCCGCCTGTCCGAGTTATCGGCGTTCGAGCCGGTTCCAATCGTTCGCCGCTTTTTTCCCCCAACGTAAAATTCAACGCGACTTCATCTGGGCTGGCCGATTGATTCAATAAAGCGTCCACGAGTGCGCTAAGTAAGTAACTCTCTCGAGGCAGATCTCTCTCTCTTTCCCTCTCGCCAGTTTTCCCCGACAAATTGGTTACGATCACGTGAAAGCTTAAACGAGAGAATAACACGGCAGTTGGACGATCCGTTTCACCGCGAGGCCAGGAAGGGAGAGGGGAGAGGGGAAGAGGAAACGGGTAGTCAGGTTCGACGAGACGTTGGTGGTTGCCGCGGGGTTGTAATGGCCCTCCAAGCCTGTAATTTCTGTCTTGGTCGAGTTAACATTCGACTGCGAGAAAATCCAACTCGCCACCCATGACTCGCGTCCCGCCATCTCCTCCTCTCGACTCCGTACTCGTTCGAGTTGATTTAATGTAACCACGACGGGAGTCATTCTCGGTTCCGACATCGACGTGGAAATATATAGCCAAGAAGATGTTGCTCGTCGGGATGGCTGGAACCTCCTCTCCGCTCGTTCTCATCGCGACACTTTTTTGCAACAGGCGCGCGAAACGAGGAGACGAGGGCGAGGGTCGTTCGTCGATCTGTCGCTGAACCGAGTTTAATCCCGATCCCGATCTCGATCCGCCACGCGATGGATCGATCCACGGAGGAGGGAGCAACGCTGCACGACAACGATTCGAAAACGAGACTTTTCGCTTCGATCGGAATATTTCGAATTCCTACGAGCGTTTACCGGACCAGAGAGAGAGAGAGAGAGAGAGAGAGAGAGATTCCACAGCTCGAACCGTTTCTCGTTCCACGGATACCTGAAAGTTCTCGAAAAGGATCTTCCTTTCCTCGGATCTCGAGGCTCCCCGCCGATTCGAGACGCGACGGGGACGACGCGTAGATTTCTCGATGTGTACTCTTGTCAAGCCGTGAAATTAATGCGTTCGTCCATTCGCATAATTGCGAGAGGGATCCTTAACTACGAGTTTAATCCGAGAAGGATTCCGTGACGAAGCGTGAAACAGGCTATAAACCGCGACGATAGTCCCCCGGCGATAGCGTCCCGATCGACGACGAACTCGCCGCTTCTCGCGCCAACTCGCTTTTCTCGCCTCGAGAATGCCGCGACCGTATTAATCCCGTATTAATCCCGTATTAATCCCGTATTAATCCCGTGTCGAGGAATGATTCGGTGGTCTGGAGAGCGAGCATTAATCCGCGCCACGATCGGAAGCGAGGAAGAGAGAAAGAGGACGAGAGAGTTTGTTCACCTTGGCGGTGCGGAGGCTGGGCATAGAGGACTAGCGAGAAGACTCGGCCACGAAGAGCGGCAGCAGCAGCACCCTTGTCATGGACTTGGTGCGAACGCCACACGTGGTTGGACGCGTCGAAGGAGGCTTTCGCGCATGAAAATCCAGTGGACGTGGAGCAGGGTGCGATAAAATCCCCCGAGAACCCGGATTAGGATGACTCGAAGCGTGCTTGGCGGAGCAAGGTGCGCGTTACGAGTTATCGGCAGGGATTCCGCATAATCGAATATCGCGGATGCCG